CCCTTGTATCGAAAACTACTAATAACTTATCCGTTAAGGAGTTATAACTCATTGGTGAATGAGTTATAACTCATCAACTCAGACAGCGGCAACAACTCTCAAGCGCACCTCAACACAGTCATACCCAGGCCTAAAACAGGGTGATAATTTTAAAACTTGAATGACTATATCTGACAAACAAAAAAATATTCCCATAATATAAGAGGGTCCCAATTTTTATGATGAGGACTTCATGTATGGATAGAAAAATGCATTTTGAATTATGTCATATAAACATAGCTCCGTTTTCTTTTATTTTTTATATAATAAAAATTATTGATCAAGAACATTAAATATAATTATTGCAGAAGGCAAGTTAGAAAAATTGTATTTAAAAATAATACACATGCAGATTCACGGTGGATGGCGATTAGACTTTAATGAAGAATGCGATGCATGCTCTTTTGTAGGCCTGCGTAACACTGTGTTGAGTGGTACTTTTAAGTTGTTGCCGCTCTGTGAGTTGCTGAGTTATAACTCATCGTCCCTCACTGCGCCACTTCTCAATTATTGAAAGACATTTTTATTTATTTAAAATTTTGTTGGTTTCTATTATCGCTCGGAAATTGAGGAACAGTTTCATTTTTTTTCTTCTCAGGTTTTTTGATTAGTCAATATTTTTAGAAAAACAAAGTTAATTCGGTTATTAATTTTAGCTTTGGCGTTGTGCACTGACCACTGCAGCTGAGTGAAATCCAGAAAAATATAAATGGCTCTAAATTTAAGATTAAATTAGTAAAAGATCGGAGCTTGGGGCGTTTTTAGTTTAGTTCGACAGTGAACAAAATCGGTTGATAATCCTTTCTGCGTGAAATATAGAATAATTATGGCCTTATGGCAAGTGCGGTATTTTGTGAAAGTGGAGTGAACTTTTTGAGAAGCATTGGGTAGAAAATCGAGGATAGGTCGACAGCTTGCAAACAGCTGGTAAGAATCATTTCTAATCTATAAATCTTTTAGCTTGAACTAACTATTTTTCTGACAAACAACTGAAGTTTTCTGGATTCTTTAAATTTCTCTCTTTGCTTTGCTGATTTCAAAAAAATTGGCATTGGACATACTTCCTGCCGAAATAATAAATAATATACATATTTTTAAATCTAAACAGAAAATTTGGAATTTTGGTGTTGGCATAGGAAAGCCCTGTGCTTCTGTCTCGCGTACAGCAACTTSTTCTAAATTATAGATGATGTCTTCAAAATATTAACCTTTCGGCTAGAGATAAAAACTGCTCCAATTACATCTTTTCAGATAGAACGCCCTGCATATTAGTTCAAACATTGGGAAAACCATTAAATTCCCTGGAAAACCATTAAAACTATATATCATGTTTCTATACCTAAATCATCAAATTTTCGAAATAAATTGAAATTATTGGAAACATTTTGACGCATTTGTATTGCTGGAAAAATGTATAATTATTCTAGGGCCTGCAGCGGTCACGTTTGACGAAAAACTTCAATTATTACTTGTACATGCTCAGGACTTACCGTTTCCAATCTGGTTATAAACGAATCATAATTATCTTTGCACATTTTTTGAATATGTGTATATATATATTTATGACTCAAATTCGTGAAGGTCTGTCCAACTAGAGGCTCCAATAAGTTCATCTCACTCAACTTTCTGAAAACACAAGAGATAAACTAAAATTAGAAGAGATCGTGGTGTAGTTTCGAATTGTCAGAAAATATTGAAAGGATGTCTTGTATATGCAGAGTGAATCAAAATGACTCCTAAAAGGCAACTTCAAGGTAACATCTTAAAAGAAATGACTCACTTGGGAGTACGAGAAAAATATTCAACATTTTTTTCCAAAATTTACTTTATTAAGAAGATATGAACAGTTGAAAATAAAATTTCAACTTTGTTAATGTAATATTAGTACAGTAAAGTCCGCTTATAATGAACCCGATTATAGTGAACTTTCGGTTAAAATGAACTTTTTTCCTTTAATTGAAACGTCGTTCATAAAGACCTACGTATTTTTTACTGGTTATAATGAACCCGTTTATAACGAACATCCGGATATAACGATCACTTTTTAAGATAGTTGTATATTCACTTTCCGTTTATAACGAACTTCCACGCTCAGCAACACGAATCGTGCGGAGTTGTATGTATTAGTGAGAGCGAGAGACATGCAGTGACTTGTTTTTTGTCGCGTTATGTATGTAAATCGTTTTAGAATGGAAAAACAAAAACGCAAAGCTTTTTCACTAAATGAAAAGTACGAGATTATTAACAAAATAAAAAGTGGAGTAAAGCAGAGTGACATTTGTAAGGAATTAGCTCTTGGAAAGTTTACTGTTGCAACAATATGGAAAAACAGAGAAAACATTTTATCAGAGTATGACAAAACAAATGTTAGATGTAGGACGTTAAAATTGTCTGCACATGAAAAGGTTGACAAGGGACTTATTAAGAGGTTTACTCAAAAAAGACAAGAAAACGTTCCCATGAGTGGCAGTGTTTTGCAAGAAAATGCTAGT